AAATCGCAGATTGGGCAATCAATCCCCAGAAGATAATATCATTTGCAGGCGCAAACCTCTTCCGATTCAATTGATAACTGCTAGCACACATCCGCAAAAGACCATAAATCATTTTCGCCCGCGGCAAGACCAATCACACACTCGGTTTATAAAGTAAGTTCTTAGCACCTTTGGGCAGATGCCTGCCATAAATCTGCGAGTGCTTTGCTCGGCCGATCCGAAATTCCAGTTCGGAATGAGAGTACTCGCACTCATATAAATCTGCTCCAGGGAAGGGGCAGGTTGCAACTAGCGATGCAACAGCGAACAATGCCTGCCCCAAGCCGCATCATAAATTGCGTGTCTGTGGAAATGTAAACACAGTCAAGTCGAAGGCAACCCGAGACGGCGTCCGATAACTAAGTGGCAACAGAAAGTCCCAGTGCCGGGGCCCCAATCTTTCGGGGGGTCCAACATTGTTGTTTTAAGCAGTCCCTCGCATGCAATTACACCATTTGCAGCAACAAGTTTTTATATGTAAAGCTGCCCAGCCGGCTTCATAAATATTTAATAAATTTAATAAATTGAGTGGCAAAGAATCCAGCCCGCGGGAACAATTATGTGAAGTACCTGCCTATTTTAATAATACGAATAAAAGAAGGAGGCGGGTTGAACCATCCTGCTCAAACTTCTTGATCTTGTCAATACGGCTAGCGTAATTACATTTAATGCGTTCGGAAATGCGTTTTCTTCGCTCACGTCCGCTTTTGATAAATGACTCTGTTTTCGTGATTGGAAGCTCCTCCTCGCCGAATAGCACGACTTTTACAATGTAAAGCCCACTCTAAAACTAAATGTGAGCTTCAAGGTTATTAAAAAAATAATCTCGTTAAAAAAAAGCGTAAATAAAAAAATGATTGATTTAATGAATGAAAGCCAAGCTTTGAATGCATTTAAGCCTAAGCCGAATACCTCTACCAATCCTAATTTTTTTCCGTGCACAACATATATTTATTGGTAACGCTCTTATACCCCATAATTTAACTCACTTAAAAGGCCGTTGAAACTCGCACATGCTAATTTAGTATTTTTTCTTGGCGTCCACTTCACGGCTTCAGAAATTTCAAACTTGTTCAAAAAACGAGTGCGAAATTTATGGTCCGCACTCTGTCAACCAAGTGCTTAATTAATTGTTTTTATTATTTGTACAAATATTTAATATTTTGAATGATGTGAGAAAATAAATTTAAGTTTGTCCAGAAAAGGTGTGTCAAGCCAACGGTTTTTTTGTCGTTCATGGTTTTTATATGTCTGAAAATACTCTTATAACCCCTAATTTAAGTCACTTATAAGGCAGTTGAAACTTCACACATGTTAATTTAGTTTTTTTGGGGGTCCGCTTTCACGGCTTCAGAAACTTTAAGCTTGTGTAAAAACCAAGTGCGAAATTTAATGGCCCGCATTTTGTAAATGCACCTCAATTGAATGCATCGGGGCTTAGAACTTCGGCTTAAAAGGGGGTTTGGTTTTGCTGAGAGCCCTGTAATTGGTGCCCTCTGGATGATAGCTGATTATGCCTGTACTCCGATGCAAATGACTTTAGCAGGTTGTAAATACCGCCAACAAGGAAGGCTTAAGCTTATTAGCCCTTTACCTCTGTCAGCTGCAGCTGCCGCGTGTTTAGGGCCACTCTAAAGGGTCCAGAGGCCAGTCGTCGAACTTCGACTACACTAATTTTCTGCTCGTAAAAACCACTTTAATTGCGAAAAAAGAAAACCATATTTTTATTGTTCGTGCTGCAAAAAAAAAGTATTTTGTGGTCTGTTCCCGGCTAGATTCTGGCCATATAATTAAGCTCCATTCCGGGCGAATGTAATCCCGACTTGGCGTAGTCCGCCAGCCAGCCCGATCCATCGCGAACAAAGTCCGGCGAAGAGTATTAAAAGTAATGCCAACATATTAACTGGAAATCTCGTAAATTATCCAACCAAATGACCTGTCAAAGCTGCCAAGCGCTGCTCCCGAGCGCATTTCTCAAATATGAGAAATAATAAAAATGCAAACTACGCTCTCCGGCTGGAAGCCGGCAAATGCGAGTGTGCGGGCCATTTGAAACGAAATCGAAAACAAAATCGGGCAGAATGTATGGGCCCACAATATATATTCCTACCAAAAATACATTTTACAACTTTATTTTACGAGCGCAGCAAAGTTTTTGTTTTTTGCCGGGGGTTTTTCAGCCGAATTGGCGGCACTAAATGTTTTAGACAGACAACTGAGAGATGGTCTGTGGGACTGCGGGACTTTGGGCCTGGCCAGGAGCGCTGCCTGTCTTAAGAGCCCGAAATTAGCACAGGCCATTAAATTAATTAACTGAAGTCGAAGTTTATCGATTGCCGGTCATGGTTACCTTGACTTTGTGGGCTCGCCACCAGGGTCTGATTCTTATCGAGTCTCAAGCCTTTCGAATTTTACGTCCTTCCATTTTTATATTTATATTAAAAGTTAAGAAGTTATTCAACATTTTAATGCCATGACTTTTTTTATGTCCTGAGCTTGTTTAAATTATGTATGCCTCAGGTTATATGTATCTTCATGTATCTTTTATGCGATTTGGTATCAACATAAAGTGTGTTTTGCAATCACTTAGTTTTTTAATTTTCAGAATTTAATATTTGCAGACAGGGAAGGGTATTTAACATTAACACTTAACTGTTGTATCCTTTGCTTCTATTATAAAAGATATTTAATTTAATTCTCGTGATAGTAATAATCGATATATGTAAGGTCTACTGACCTTGATAATATTATTGAAGTTTAAGATACATAATTTAGTTGAGATATACATATATAATCCGGACTTACAATATTATCTTTTTTCCTTTAAAGACACCTCCCAATCTAAAACCTCTTGTAGCTTGCAGTCTAATGGCAGTTTAAATCAATGACTGGTTTAACCAGATATTTAAAATGCACTAATCGAATTAAAGTGACCTTAACCTGGTGTTTTTTAAATTATCTTGAATGTAGAAAAACCTCAAGCGAAAAATGGCCGGCAGACACTAGAGCAATATATTGTTCTACCATATTGGCACTCAACCATTATCGGTGGGTTATGATACCCATCAGAATTAATGACAAAATGATACCCCTGGTGCTGCAACCAGTGCTGCAAGAACCGGGCATCCAGGACAGAGTGCCAAGTGTGTAACCTCGCGTCTGGAGGTGACTAGCGGCCCGCATGACTAATTCCGGAGTCGGACAGCGCCAGTGTGGGCAGCACCATCGGACCAAACTAATGAGCCGTCCGACTCGTTTTGGGGGGACTAGGAAAATCTGCAACAAAGTTGCCAGCGAGAAAACTCGATCTCGGTTCCTGTTTGAAGACGGGTTAGTTAACTCCCGGCCGGCGATCGAGATTACGAATAAGTTTACACGTTTGTAGACATCGGGGCCACAACCTGGCTACTGGAGACACAGACACTCGAGGAACTGAATCGGTGGAACTGGAGGAGCTTCAAGATCTGGAAGAGCCTGAAGAGCTGGAGCGGTGTTCATATGATTGACGAACTGCCTGCAGTTGACAGTATCGACATCGGTTGTATTGTCTGCACTTATGCTAAACGATCGCCGTAATGCCGATCCATGTCTGGCTGCCATTACGGGCTGATAATATGCATAAAGCAGTCATCGGCAAGTGGAAAATGCAACTATGAATAAGTTTCATGCCTGCTTAGCAGTTTGATGGATGGTCTTGTTGGATTGGCCCGACAGCTCCGCTTGTAATTGTCCGAAGATTATGCTGCATTTGTATGCCGCGTTGTGTGCCGATATGCAATTAGGGGAACGTGGTCAGCCGAGCGTTGGATGGTCCTCATAGCACCTGATTCGACGGATTCGGATTAGGGTTCGGAATCCACACCCCCAGACGGAATTCAGCCGCTAATGAGCTTTTATACCAGTGACTCCATTCTTGGTTCTTGGGAACAACGATCATAAATGCTAGTCCGAAGGAATCAACGGATAAAGTAATAGCTTGCTTAATAAAGGGAATTATTCATAAGCGGTCGTTTTTCTTCATTTATCCGTGTCTACAAGATTAAATGGCATAGACAGGGGTATTATATTTCACTAGCACTGAGGGTGTAGCTATCTCAATGTTCCCAAATGAAGACATGTTAGTCCTTAGTCATGCTAAGTTCATATGCAAACTATATTTCAAGATTAAATGATTCAAATTCGTATTTTTTTAAAGTTTTAGCTTGAATTTGTAAACTGTTCCATCTTAAAATACTCTTTAATTTATGCTGTCTTTACTTATCTGCTTAAGAGTATCGCGAATATGAACAATGAAGTAAATGGCATGTTTCCCACACATAAATAAGGCTTAACTGCTTTAGGATCAGCCGATCAAATCACTTAATAAAGAAAAGGCGGCACTGGTGCCTTCAGGTGTCAACTGCTGACAGCTTGGTTTACCCATGTTAATTGATTATTTCATGCACCGTCACCGACGGCACAATGCCTGTCCTGCCAAGCATTTCCAAGTCGGATCATGTAGTTCTGAGACTCACGACTCTGTATTTTGAGGACTGTAGGTGAACTGTTTAGAGGAATTTTTTTTTGCCTCCCAAATTAAGAGTATTAGTTATGTTTATCTGCGAAAACAAACTTCGACAAATTAATTTACCCTCGATTGGTAGGAATATTTAATTTCCTTTTATCCCAACTAAAAATTCTTATGTTTCTGAATGCATCTTTTAAATGATTGTTGTACTACCTTAAAATATGTACATATGTATGTATAACTATTAAAAAATTTTAAAAATAACTATTGTATAATCCAAATATTTTTAAAGTATTCTTGTACGCATTTACTTGAAGTTATTTCAATTTGGTAGGATTAAATCGTTGAATATATTCACCATGGGTATCGATTAGTCGAAAGCGTTCGCATTAGCATTCCTGCTCGCATCTTTTGGTATTTACTAGTCTGGGCCCCGAGAACAACAACAACTTGATTAGGCCTTCTGTCGGAGGCGTCTCTGCCCCAGATGCCCACAGTACGTGCCGCGTCGCCGCGTGGCTTCATGGATCTGTCCTCGTTGCTCCCAGCGGCGGCATTTGCGGCCTATAATTAGGTGGCAGTCATTTAGAGGCGCGAGATGCACGGCCACTCCTTGCCAGACTCCTCTGTGTGGATAGGCCCAGGATGGAAATGCTGTGCAATTTTCTTTGTGCTTTTCATTTCATTTTCAATTTTCCCTCTGCACTTTACTAAATGAGCCATAAATATGGCTAGATACTTGCTAAGATCACAGATTAGGCGAGTTTCACGATTCATCATACAATCTTTAGACCCATGCAACAGAGTGACTATACATGACAGAAACAACCACAGACAACATGACCCTAATTATAATGGACCACAGCAAGATTACTCACAGTCGGGACTTTGCTAAAGCGAACACCTAATATCATTAAATATACTTAAATTGATTTTAATACGTTGTAATTTGTTTTGAGTAACGTTCCTTTTAGTACTCATAGCATATATGCTTGCTGAATGAATAAGTTGTTTACCGTTTTATTATATTACTTCAATCACGCACATAAAATAAGTAATTAATTATTTATAAGCATAAAAATCTCCGTAACTGCTAAAACTTGTTTATGTTCCGGAGCAGATAGAACAAACCTATAATTACATTTTTTTAAATTAACAAACTCCAAAGAGAATAATAAACTTTTAAGGGTATAATTTAGAAAATTACCTATAAATTTTACTGTTTGATCTGGTGAAAAACAACAATAAGTATTATAAATAATAAAATAAACAGACTGTTCCCTTCACCCAGCTTAAAATTTTTAAATTAAATAATAATTACATTAAAAAGCTAATGTAGTCGATGGTAATATGATTGGATCGCCGTTCACCTTATGGTAAATTAGTATACCACCTTTGACCTTCTGAAGCCCCATCAAAGGACTGAAGGATCCTGAGGAACTAAAATTTTCAAATTAGGATTCAAACGGAGTATATAAACATGAATAGGAATGCTGGACAAGGAACTAAGTTAAGTTCTGATAAATTTATGTACCACCCCACCCTATCAGTATAAATATAAATACCATCAAAATTATTATTTTCTGGATTCATAATGGCTTGGTTTCATATTCAATTCGAAAACCCCTTGCTAGAATTAAATTTAGAATTTTTCTATGTAGATGTATTTAAAATGCACTCACCCAAGGGCACATTGGCGCCATTCTTGCGATTGACGGAAACTGAGATCGGCAAAATGGCGGCGCCGGAAGTGGACGATGGCGAGGGCGAGGACGAGTCGCAGGAGCCCTCCAGCGATTGGGCGGGCGTTGGCACCGTGCTCATGTGATGGTCGGCACTGGTGATCACCGAGGTGCCCGAGGACCTTCCTCCTGCTGCTCCGCCGCCCGAGCTGGCTCCACCACCTCCTCCTCCTCCACCTCCACCTCCTCCTCCTCCTCCTCCCCCTCCATTGCTATTGCTGGAGCCGTTGCTCGAGGTGGCCGGTGCGGCGTTGCTGGAACTGGCCGCTCCTCCGCCGGAGCTGCTGCTGGCCGGACCCACACTTCCGCCATGCTCGCTGTGCGGTGGCGATCGCAGCGTGGTGTGCTGCGGGGGAGCCTGCTGATGCGGATGTGGGTGGTGGTGCTGGTGGTGGTGGTGGTTGTGCGAGTGTGGGTGGCTCTGGTGCTGGTGCTGGGCCACCGAGGCGGCTGCGGCGGCCGCCATGTGGACGTGGTGCGCATGGGCATGGCCATGGAGGCTGGAGGCGGCCGTGGAGGAGCCCCCAAGATGGGAGGCCGGAGCCGACGGAGCTGCTGCTGCGGCTGCTGCTGCCGCGGCGGCCTGCTGGTGGTGCAGGACATGTCCGTGATGCGAGTGGTGGCCGTGGGCGTGATGGGCATGCACATGGTGGGCGTGGACGTGGGCGGGAGCAGCGGCATGGTGGTGGTGGCCCAGCAGGGTTGTGGTGGCCGTTCCCGCAGGCGGCACCTCGTGCATGTGCAGCGCCCGCTGCTCGTCCTGCGCCTGGGCTCGTCTCAGCGCCGTTTGCAGGGCCATCACCCGCTGGCGATCCGCCGTCAGGCGGCACTTCTCGCAAGTGCAGTAGCGGAACTTGCAGTACCGCTTGTGTCCCTTCAGGGTGATCTTCAGGCCGTGGTTGCGGCAGCGGGCGCAGTTGGGCGGCGTCCTGGGCGAAATGGAACTCCCGCTGGAGCTGGAGGCACCCCCGCACACGTCGTTCTTCGAGTCGATCATGTCCGAGTCGGACATCGTGTCGCTGTTCCAGTTCTCCTCCGAAACCATGTCTGCAGCTTCTGGTATCCTTGATAAAAGTTCGAGTGTCTTAGTTAACTTTCCCGTGCTTTAAGCTAATTGAAAAAGCATTTTCTGCAAACGATTACTGGGTTTTTCTGGTTGAATCACTGAGATTGTTAGTTATTTAACATTCAAGAGTGTATATTAATAAAACTTGTCTTATGTGGGAACTTTAAGTATTAACGTTGCGATTAAATCTGGATTTGATTATGGATAAGTTTCGGTATTTATGTTTATGTAGATATTTGTCTGTAGATTACTGAGAAATATAAGACTTTATGTTTCACTTTCTGTATTTGCTGGTTTACTTTGAATTTTTAAGCCCCTGAAATGAGAAGAAATTTACATTTGTTATAAAATGGATTGAAGAAATGTGGAAAACAAGCTAAATAGCAAATAATACAATTTCGAAGATCCGGCCTATTTTTGTACAAGTGCACTCTACACTCAGCTAATGAAATTCCAATGCATTCATCTACTTCAAACACCAGGCACAAATATTTATTTACGATTTGGAAATTGTGTTTTGCCTTTGTATGCTTGACTAGCGGTAGCAAACAATTTACATTTGTATTGTTAACGCCAGAAAATGTTTGCAATATTTTTGCATACACCTCACTCCGAAATAAAAGTTTAATGAGATCAGGCGGCGAAACTTTATTTCGATTGGCCGTGGAATATTGCATGTCATAAGGCAATAAAGTAAAAATAAAAATTTTGATACGATCAGCCACGCCCCTTTTACATAAAAACTCGGAGGTTAGATTATTATTGGATATTAGAAACAACTCGAAGGCGGAGTCGGATATGTAGACAGTATCTACTAGATACATTGTATTGATAGAAGTAATGAATTTGTCACAGCGTCATATAATACTGTCTCAGACAGATCTAATAGGTGCGCAAAAAGCTAATGGGAGAGAGTGGTATAGAATTATGGCTGGCTTTTGACTCTTTAACCTGTCCAGCTATACTTTTTACAAAGTCTTTTTTACTAGATGCATTTACGTAACTCGGTTAATAATGTATTAAAGTAATATACATTTTTAATGGGAAAGATTTTCCTGGCAGACATATGATAACAAAAACTACCTTTTTCCTAATACAATTTTTGATCATATTCATAAACTTAATTAAAATTTGACTTCTTTCAAGAATGATACGAGTTCTGTCAAATATAAAAAAATATTCTTTAAAAGGCGATTCTTTCCTTGTCAGTTTTTGTTTTTACACAACATGTTCAAATTTTTTTTACGCCAAACTATTTTTTTATCCTTCGCAAAATAAAACTTTTGAACCTTAAAGAATTTAAAAAATTTTAAAAATTCTTTACGGTCCTGATAGGTATGCGAATTGATTAAACTTCAATTTATAATTACATAAATTTTTGAATATTTGTTTCCTTGAACTATTTTGAATTATAAGTGATGTGTTTTTAATTGCTAAAGACTTTCAAATAATCAATTTACCTGTTTAGCGTATATGTATGTTGAAAGACTTTATATTTTATTTTAAAAATACTTTTAGTAATATTCGAAAATACGATATTATATTTTCAAACGATTTTTTTTATGAAGTTAACTTTATTTATTTTTAGGGTTTATTGATTATGGTTAGAAATATGGTGTATTTGCCGGATTACTTTTGATGATATAGTAGAATAAATGGTAGATTTAGCTTTTGGAGAATTTTGCACATAGCACTTGATTTACACAATTCCAATTATACAGTCACTCCAGCTGTATGTATTTAAATATCAATGAATAGTCGTCACACAACAAACAAAAAATCACACTTTAAGTGTTGCACGATCGCGGTCGCCCTGCAAAAAGCCGCCGGTGAAACGCGCGACTGAAGAAACCGACTGCGTCCAGTCGAACGATTAAGTCGGCAACGATAGGCAACGTGCAAAAAATCAATATTTATAGGGCTGCTTAGATCTGGTATTTAGGCGTACAACTTCTCAAAAACGTTCCGCGAGTCGCGAGCCGAGCTTTTGCTGCTGCTGCTGCTGACCGATCTGAAATCTTTGGCATGCACAAGGCAACTCACATTGGGCCGCAAGACGCGGATGCAAAGAACTCAAAAGCGCCGAGCACAGCGGTCGGCGAATGCGCCAGTATTGGTGCCCGGCCCGCGGGGTGCGAGTGTGTGTGTGCGGCCGATGTTTGCCTGTGTTTGCGTGGAAGCGGGCACCGCCAACGAAACGGAACCGAAAATCGCATCGAGAGAGCAAGAGCAGCGCACCCAAACTATGCCACAGTGGTCCGAAAGTCCTTGATAATCCTGCGAAGCTTTGCTAATGTTTGAAGATGTAAAACAACAGTTTTTGATCGGTTTTTGAAATTTTTTTTGTTTTAATTTTTAGTTGTATATTAACGAACCATTTTGATGAGTAATCACACTTGGAAAACTTTAAAACCTTTTATAATTTCAGTTTTCGACAGCTTAAACATGTTGGGAATTACAGCGATCCAGAGTAGGTTAGGTAAGTATGAAACTTTAGCATTTTCTTTTGTTTCAAAAAATAAGAAGTATTTTTAGTCAGTGATCATATTTTGAAAATTATTAAAGCTCTCAAATGCCAGATTTTTTGTTTATGAATATAATCACTTTAAGAATATCAAAAAGGAAGCTTAAACAAATTGAGAATTACAGAGGGCTAGAGGCAGATAACTTTGAAAAGCTAATTTAATCTAAGATAATACTTTAGCATCAGCGACAAGCAAATCATTATCAAGAACTTTAAAATTAATGTATTTCTTCTTTAGTAATGTTTTATCTTTAGTTAACCGTTTTTAAAAAATGTCTAATATTTCTTTTATTTTTTAACGAAGGTTATTTTAAAAAATTAAAGTGAAGTTATATTTTATTATTTTCTACTAATTCATGGCTTGAAATGGGTTTAAATATTTTTTCAATGAGCCCCACGATTTGGGACCACTGTGCAACGTCGACGCTGCGTGCATTTGGAGAAATGTGGGGGCTGCACACCAATACACCTTCGCACTCGCACATGCAGCACACACTCGCGATGACATAGTAGTACATAGTACTAGTACATAGGCAGCCTCACACACATTGGCTGGCTCTGCGGCGTTGTTGCTTCCGTTGTCGTTGTTGTTGCTTCGTTGCTCGCTGCACTTGTGTGTAGTTGTGTTAAAAAAAGTCGCCTTGCAACTTGTCCAAGTTCGAGTTGCAGTTCGAACGCGTTGCATCGACTTTTGCTTAATTGCTTTTTGCATTTCTGCTCGCCCGCTTTGTGCTGCGAATTTTATTGCATTTGTTTTGGTTATTTCTTCGTTCTAAAGGGCGTATGAGTGATGTGCATATTTGTAGATAGCACTCGGGTATTATGGTCTCTCGGTGGCTTGTGCACCGTCCTAACAAAGGGGTTTTCAAACATGACTATACAGTCGATAGCAACAACGTGGAAACGTACCAAGTGGGCTATTGGAACTGGGGTTTCGTTAAAGATATGGCCATGAAATCTGGTATATAGACTTCTTATCTAACTAGGTTGAATATAACACTACAAGACTGAAATTGGTTGCACTTCGAGGCTTATTTTAATTTAACTACGAAATACAGGATTTAAGAGAAAAACGGGGTCATACTTAACGACTTAAGCTGTTCTTCCTGTAAGCTCTTGAAACGTCTGTATAAATTGATAAATGACTCTTCATTAAAAAGATATTAATATTCTGGACAAAATTTATGCATAAGAAAATGGTAATTTTAAAACCTGTATAACCCCAACGGAACTTAATAAGAGCTTAATACCAATCATATTAATTATTCTATACAGATCCTGTTATTATGTAAAAAAATTAATGTTTTCTTAATTATTAAAGGGGTTTCTTGAAGTTTTAGTTTATACATTTTAATACATTTTCCCTTGCTAGAATATATTAATTTTTCTGTAACTTGTTGAAAGGTGTTCATTAATAGCTCGAAATTCACATTATAAGTTGAATATACATATATTTTCATTAACTTTCGATAGGGAATAAAAGATTCATTCTGCATGTTTTATTCCATTTTCTCTACATGGGCTGGCGTGTTTAATTCGTGTTTAATCTAAATTGCACTTAGTTCGACATTAGAGTGGCTCATTGAACTTGCCAATACATATTTACACTTAAAATGTTTGACGATTGATTAGAGCCGAGTGAAAGAGAGATAAGGGGAGAAAAAAAGTGAGCAAAAAGAAATGCCTTTAGTAACTAAACATTTCAACCTTATTAGCTAGGTGATATGAAGTGTTTGTCTGTCTCAATTTCAGTTGCCCTTAATTACTTAATTTTGGAGTCTAAAGCGCTAATACCCTGTATTTAAAAGGAGGGTAAATTGGGCATGAAAGATGTGCTGATAACGGGTCTCACATTTCGTGCCAGCACCATATACCCGCCCCCTTTCTTCCTCCCAGTGGCCACGTCAAAATGTTGTTACTTCGCCTCTGTGTTTAAAAATGCACACGATCGCTTATCTTGCATGTCGCCTCTAATTTGTATTTGCGGAGAGACGCGGAGAGAAAGAATCGCTTCGCAGAACCACTCGAAGAGAAAGACCCGGGGCCTATCGGTAGAACGGCGATTCAATATTTGCTAATTATGTGACGGGCGACTTGGGGGGAAAATGCAAAATGTCAAGGGAATCGACTTTTTAGTCGCGAAAGGAGAAGCGGATTAAATTGATTGCTGGTGAGCATAAAAGACGCGCAGCTTGTGCATTTAATTTGTCTAAAGCGGAAGAGATCCCGATAAGAGCCCACTTCAGGTTATTAATGGGCCAAGGGAAACTTGGTGTTATAAATGGCAAGCCCGCCTTAAGTCGTTTATATGATAATTGCAAGTGCGGTGCAGCTTATAAAATATATATTGAGAATGTACAGATCATTATGACTTTGCACTCAGAAAAATATATTTCAAATTATTACAAAATTCTGACTGGGATATAGCATTGATAAATGTTTTGATTTAATTATCATTCATTTTATTCCATTAAGTTATAAAACAAGAGTGGGAACGCTAAAGTCGACGGTCTCAGATACCCGTTTCTCAGCTAAAGAGAGTGCGAGGGAATGGAGATATGTAAGCAGCAAAGCGACTGTTCCAAAAACTGCACACCCCGCAACCACGCCACCTAGTGTCGATTCCTTTATTTGCTTATAATGATGGATGGTCCGATCTAAGCATTTGGCATCAAAACAAATCCGCTATAAAATCTTTAAAGACTTGGGCGCTAGACAGGTTTTAGCGTTGTGACCGTTAACATAAACTTGCGCTGCGAAAGAACCTCAAGAATTTGCATTCCAAATCCCAACTTTTTAGCTTTTATAGATTCTGAGATCTCAGCGTTCAGACAGAAGGACAGACAGACATGGCTAGGTGGACTCGACTAATGATCCTGGTCACGAATATATACTTTACTTTATAGAGTACGAAACGCTTTCTCCCTTTTATTCTACTACTAAGAGGTATAATTAAAAATCGTTTTCAGGCTATAGACCCTTTCTTTTATAGGTGCAGTTAGACGAAAGCCAAGCAAGTGTTATATGGCCGTTTTCGCTCAGTTTCATTCATAAGAAATTAATCATGATCATTGCCATGTGCAAATTTCCTTTAATTTATACAATGTTCTTCATGTCAGTCTTCATTTAAAATTATAATAAAAAGTGAGCTTAATAACATAGTATGGGCTATCTCATGTATAGTTTCTCTTCCGTATAACTCATTTCCAAGCGAAATTAAGACTTGATTATATTTTCATGAGTGTAGAACCTCCCGGATAATCGATGGTAAGCTTTTCTAGTGTCAAAAACCGGCTTGTGCTGAACTTTCAATTGAATGCGAATATCCAAGCCTTTGCTGCGTAGTCTTGGACAAGTCGATTTCCGCATTTCGCATTTGCATATCCCTCATAACCATTCAGACTTTGGTCCAATTTGCCTTATAAGCACCCATCACAGGTCTCCGATCACCTATCACCGCCCCCGCAATCCCAATTGGAATTGAAATGGCAATCGCCTGGACCATCCTAATGGTGTCTTAGAAACCCGTGGCGCTACGCGGGAGTCTCCCGAGTGCGGCTGTAAAACACGACCTGTTGCTCGTTTCCTGTTCAATTTGGTAGTCAGACAATGGCTCGGTCCCCTTCCCCTTACCCTGCCCCTGCTATCCAGCCCCCCGCTGCCCCGGAGACTTCATACCGCGGTTGTAGATGGCAATCGGGGAGCGTACCTGCCGCTATCGCCATTAAGGCTTGTACACACGAGCATTTATGTCAGGCAATTACAAGGCAGTTTGCAACGCCCCCGAAGCAGGAACAAAAGGGTGGCAAACGGAGGGGCAGGGGTAGGACATTTGGTAGCAGACGCCGAGCGGTCATAACTATAACTCATTGTTCACTTACCGGGGACAATGACAATTGCATGCACTCGCCAAAGTATCTGCGGGTCCACTACTAGGCGTAGTATCTGTATCTGCATCTGCAATCTGCTCCCGTGCGGTGTGTTTTGCTCTTGGTTATGCAAGCACTGTGAGAGAAAATAGCACTCGAAGTGAGAGATCGGTTGGGATCGGATAGAATCGCGCAAGACCGAGAACGAGAGTGAGAGTGTGGAGCCGGTGGAATTTTGTTTTTTTTCTTCTCACATTTGTATCTTTTATTTGTTTTCTTAAGCCGTACAAACTGTGGCCACAAACGGCATTGCTTAGCATGGCACTCGCGATTAGACTTGGTTCCCTGTAGGTCCGCGCATTCTAGAGATATTTTCGGACTTTGCACTGTAACTAAAAAAACTATCGCACAGAATTTCGGACCTGATTCCGCTCCAGTTCTGTTCTGTTGAGGTTCAGATAGCGATTTCGAGCACGGATCGCAGCTGAGCAGCGCGCACACGAGCGCAAAGGACGATCGGTGCCAGCAAACTGGTTGCGGAGCCACGAAGCTCTGGGCACGACCAGTACCAGTCCGACTAGCAGACCAGCGAAACCCACAGAAAGAGTCGGCGGACAGGCAGACGGACTTGCAGGCGGACGGGCGGACCTAAAACTGAGCATGTGTCGCTGGCACAGAGACGGGCCCACCGACTGACGCCGCCATGCTCTTGCTATTTGCACTCCGGTGCACCGCGAAAAAAGAAACGATTGCGGTCGCAACCGACCGGCACGACTGCTGGATGTTCTGCACATAATTCGATCTCCTTATAATCTGACAGAACTAGCATGGCAAAAAGTTCCTTGTATATTGATTCGATCATAACTATTCCTCTACTGTTAGGTTTATTTAGAAAATGGTTTACACTGTTTCTTTTATCAAAAAGGTATATGTCATTATTGAGGTTGTAAATTGTCGTATAAATTAATTACAAAAAGTATAATATATGATTATTTTCTTTGAATATTGATCATTTTATTAAGTACTTCCATAGACTAACACTTAATAAAAAAAACCAAAGTTGTGCTAAAAAGTATGCTACAAAAAGTTATGGATCCCGCACTGCGTATACTTATTATTTACTTTCAAAATTAGTTGCATACTTGTGAGGGCTTACCGCGGTTTTGACTAAAAACAAATGAAAAGGCAGATTTATTAAAGGTAATCTTTTTATTATGGAGAATTTTAAAATGAAAAGGTAGAAGTTTGCAATAGGCTTAGGAGTAAATTAAAAAAGTGGCATCTTATTTATTTTTTACCAAACATTTCTCTTGGCCATAGTAATTTTATCATGATTTAATTCTGAATCAAGTTACGATATATGATTTTATATTATTTTATATTATACTATATTATATTATATTATATTATATTATATTATATTATACCATATTATATTATATTAATTTATTTTATGTGTATATTAATACCTATTATATTAATGGTATATTTGTTCCCGACGCCCAGGCGTTTTAGCAAACCAACAGGCTCAATAAAAGATTGGAATTCGGAGAACCCAGACGAAAGCATCTTGGGAGCGAAACGGGTCTGCGAGAGCGAAAAGTGCATTTGCCCCATTAATTAGAGAGCATAAAAGCTGAAAACATCGCTCTTCCAACCAGAGCTCTTCATCTCTGTGCGAAATTCTCTTAGAATCCGCCTGTGTTTTGCCAATCTCTGCGAGAAACTCGGGTGGAGCAACTTTGTTGCCGTCCATTGACGTCTCCGCCTGCATGTGTCGATCGTAAATCTGCACTCTCGCCAGACTCTCTGCCTTTTTCTCTTTCCCTGGCTCTCTGGGCGGGAGAAGAAGCAGCGCCAGATACGGGGAGAATCGGGTTTTAACGTCTAGCCAACGATATAGGTCGAACCACTCAGCTGGGCTTCGGCCTGCTCCGAATATTGATGACACCTTCAGACGAACCGATTTGCGTGTGTCGCACTCGCATTTATCACATTCAAAGGTCCCTTTCATCGTCAGCCGTTTTATTAGTGGGGATCGTTTATTCAGTCCGCAGGAGATAATTGAACTGAGGCTCGGCTCCATTAAAGTTACTTTCGCCCCCAGGCGGTGCACGCAACTTTCAAGCCGATTCCCAAAAATGTTCGAAAGGTTACTTGGTACGAGAAGGGCCTTGCCCGCCCTTTCGGTAGTTTCTCATCGGTAAGCGAGTTGAAGTGGAAATTATGGTACCCCCGTCAGGAGTTATGAAAATAATATTAATCATCTCCGATCCCTTATTTGAATAATATTTCAAAATTGAAAGCCCTTTATAAATCGATTTTAGTTAAATTTAAATTTTGGAAAGGTTTTTTTAGTGGGATCTGACTTTATTTTTTTTTAAGAACCGGTAGGTCTTTTGGACCACTGGGTTTGAACTTAGTTATTGATGTTTCGAAGACAAATATCTTGAGGTTTCAATTAAAATACATCTTAATAAAGGATACAAAATTATTGGAAATTTAGTTAATTTTCTAAATAAAATTATACTACATTTCTTTATTATATATAGGTATTGTGTTTGTCAGATCTTAGTGCAGATAAATTCCTTTTAAGAATCGAATATATATTTATATCATTTGGTAATGTTCCGTGGGCCCACCGGTGGAATTTACAGAACTACATTAGCGCATTTTCAGCATACTCATGCGATGGGTCTCACGCATTTTAGCCAACATTATGGCCGAGTGTCGAAAGAGCGTGGCTGGAGGCATCTGCAGTTGCAAGCTCATAAATCAATTAGCGAAGAGCGGAGCGGAAAGAGTATCTCGCAGATACGGAGTCCAATCCGAATCCGAATCGAAACTCGTTTGGATGTATTCGCTCTCAAAAAACGCCAACAAACTTGTGGCAGAACGGCAAACAAAAATACTCGGACCAGAGGAGCAGAGAAAATGCAAATGGTAAAGAAACCGGCAAATATTTATTTATGATTTTCTCTCTCGCTCCCTGTTCCACTCTCTGCATCTGGCAGATACTCTACCTCAACTCTTTTTCAAAGGGGAATCCGAGGCCGTGCGACCCCCGCATCGATCAGCTTGCATTCAGCATGTTTTATTTTTAACGATTCCACATACACCGCAACCATCGGTGGCAATTGCAAACATTTATACAAATTGACGTTTAGCTGTCGCAGTTGTCACCTCGAAAGCCGCACCAAAGATACACGACACACCGACGACATCGGGGAATGCTGCCAAGTGCGCGGCGCAGAATTCTCCGGATGACCCGGCGAGGTAATGGTAACCCAAGTTGCCGACCGCAGTCTGTCTCCGCAGATATTGCCCCACGCTCCAGCCCCCCATTCCCCATCCCCAAACCCAATTCCAGCCTCACTCGCATTGCCATGGCCCATTCCCCGCCAGCGGCTCGTGTTCGTGTTTTATAATTGTTATGGCCATTCTACAAGTTGTTGTACATTGTTAGCGGCTTGGAAGGAGGGCTTTTAGTTGCGATGAGGCTTGGTGTGCGGTGCGGGTAGAAAGGTGCACAGGAAAAAATAAGATCGATGGCAAAGAAAAGTTTGAATTAAAACTTTAAATAAAGTTACTCTCAGGGAGGTCCCACAAATCTAAAAATATTATATCTAAATTCCTAACAAGTACTGTTTCTTTGAAGCTCAAAAAAAATATCAACAGAGTCAAACCATTTTGAAAGCACAAAGGTGTTGAAGATATCTAAAGCACAGCCAAATCCAATAAAAAATCAAAAAATTCCACTTCTACCTAAAGCTTTATAATCCGTTGCAAGGCAGATAATTTCATCAGGGTCCAAAACCCTTTGCTTTTATTTAATAATTATATTTAAATACTTTTATATTAAATTAAAGTGCTAAAATTATATTTTTGAAATTTTTTTTCAATTAAATGTAAACGTCCCCTGTATGACATGTTACAGATAATAAGTAAAGTCGTTAAAATTATATAAATTGTTTTCTGTACACCTGGGTAGCCTTTAGAGTTGCTTAGGCGTGCGAATCGCACAGATGTCTGGCGCCAAGTTCGGAAATTTATATCAACCGCTGTCAGTTTGCATTTCCTCTGAAAGCCTAGTTCGGAACGGATCGAGTGCATATCTACACGAAGACAAAACTGCTTCCGTGAAATTGTTCAACCTGGCGATGATGAATTATGTAAAGAATTTTGGAGCTCGTCTAAAGTAATTTTGATTAAATCTTGAATTATAAAAGTAGACATGAGGTTAAGTTAAACAGATAAGAGCAATTAGGCAACAAATTCTTAACAACCTTATAATACATTATTTTTCAATTTAACAATTATTTATTAGGTCTTACTTACAATAAAATTGAATAATATTTACAATGTGTAATTGATATTTTAAATACTAATATGGACTTTTATAATAACTTTGTGTATATAATTTGTTATAATATTTTCGTTATGCAGACATAAATCTTTACGTTGTGTTTACCTTTTTTTGGGGCATGCTATACATCCTCGAAACACACGTCGCTTGCTTTTTGATCTTGCTTCTTCGGGCTCTTAGCCTTGTTAATTTTCAGCCCCCCTCTCGTCCAATCGATGGGAAATTTGAGATGTTTTTGAAGCCGAACAAATTGGTAGCTTAATGACAAATGGGGTGCCAAAAAACGTGTTTTATGTTCATAACCAAGATACGCAGAGTTATTTAAAGCGGCCAGGCACAAGATTCCGTGAGGCAAAAACAACGACGAGGAGATAGAATGGAGCAGTCCTCGAAAGCGAGGGCAATCTGCATATAGAACGTAACCAAAGGACAAACCTTTTAACCGACCAGCGGGAGGAATCCGGGTGGAAATGGAAAGGGACTGAGGATGAGGATGAGAACTGCTCTTCAAGGAAGGGGTCTCGAACCGAGAGTAATTTACGCCTGCATGCAAATTGAAAAACAGTCGAGAGCAGGCACTGGACATATGGGATTGGGAACCAGGATTGAGATGGGTAGGAGTTCCGGGCTGATTGAGCGCCGGGGTGATGCATTTTAAAACAAATTGGCACAGTTTGTGAGAGGTGGCTGGTCGGTCTGGTGATATGGCGATGGTGATGGAGATGGTGTTGTGTTGTGCGTGGCGTGTTTGTCACTCAATTAGATGCAACTCATTTAGCCGCTCTCGCATTTGGCCGCCATTTGTGTGCACAAAATGTTAATCAAAGCCTGATGGGATTTTTTAGGCCAACTAATGATGCCATGCTGTGAAGAGGACATAGTTGGGGGGATGGGCGATGGGGGGCTGGGTTGCCAGGGCTGGCACAGACATATTGATGACAGTCGCTCAATTAATATGCAAAATTTATGCATGGGAAAGTTCAAAACAAACAAACGAACACCACCAACAACATAGAGCTAAAAAAGTAGGAGAAGCAAGAAAAAAGGGGGATCGCGTGTCCGATAAAAAATCAATACAAATTAGCCGACTCATTTTGTTGTTTTTCCCCATCGAATTGAGTTGTTGTCACTGGTGCGTATGTGCCCCATAATCCGGTGTAATGCCTTCAAAGGAAGCTAAAGCTGCTATCGTGCGTGTCATCTATGACACCTATGAAATGGGGTATCAAGTGTTTCTTCTCTCATAGTAATATGCCGACTTGAACTACATTTAATTTGTTTAAAAACATTTTATTTTTCAAGGGTATACCTAACTTAATTATAAAATACACAAAACCTGCCACATATGTAAGCATTACAATTATTAAGCAATTAGCAGGAAGCATGCAACATAAA